CTGACGGACCCCATTTTAAAGAACCCTGAACCCTAAACCCTAAACCCTAAACCCTGAACCAAGAATCCTCTTGTCTAGGGTCCCCACATCTCCGCCGCAAGTGCACTGCCAGCCAAAGAGGCCTGGGTACGGTCAGGGTTTAGGGTTTAAGGTTTAGGGTTTAGGGTTTAGGGTTTAGGGTTTAGGGTTTAGGGTTTAGGGTTTAGGGTTTAGGGTTTAGGGTTTAGGGTTTAGGGTTTAGGGTTTAGGGTTTAGGGTTTAGGGTTTAGGGTTCTAGTTCTGAAGTTGTGGGGTGTAGTGATTTGGTCGGGCTTAGGCCCCGAAGCCCTCAGCCCAGATAAACCTAATCCATCCGGTTTTCATCGTGAAATCATCCACGCCGACCAGGCGACGACACGCTCTTGCCCCTCAGCCACACCAGGGTTCCAGTAATTGAAGCCGAGGGAACTTTAAAGGTTGAGGCCTAAGGTTTTGGGCTTAGGGTTTAAAGTTCAGGAAATTTGTCAAGGGTGAATGCTTTGCCCTGCAAGTATGACCTCCCAGCGGGGAATTCGGGATCGCGACGAGAATGCTCAGTTGTTTTCACGGGACTTTGTCGGATCGTAAGATACTCAATTCTTCTCTGGTAGCTGGTGCCCACAGCCTTTCGCCCTTGAATCTTTTGACTCCAGGCGACGGGAAACTATGTAGGAACAAGGTTGGTCAGGCTGATATGTCTGACAGACGTCTTCGCTTGGCCGACTGCGACAACAAACGTGCAATTTGAACATGGCCCTGATCAGATGCCAGCATTAGTGCTGTTTGGCCGTTGTTGTCGGCCAAGTCCTTGTCGGCTCTGGCCGCCACCAACAACCGCACGACCTCCACGTGGCCCTCATGAGCTGCCAGCATCAGGGCAGTGCGGCCATCGATGCCAGCCTTGTCCATGTCAGCTCTAACCTCCACAAACAACCGCACGACCTCCACATGGCCATATTGAGCTGCCAGCATTAGGGCCGCGCAGCCAAGGTTGTCCAACAAGTCCTTGTCGGCGCCGGCCTCCAACAGAAACCGCACGACTTCAATGTGGCCTTGAGCAGCTGCCACGATAAGTGCTGTGGCGCCATTGCTGTCGACCAAGTTCATGTTGGTGCTAGCCTCCACCAGTAACCGCACGACCTCAACATGGCCCCCTTGGGCTGCCTGCATCAGGGGCGTGCGGCCAGCGATGAAAGCCTTGTTAGTGTCGGCACTGACCTGAACAGGGCCACACAAGTCCGTGTCGGCGCCGGCCTCCACCAGAAACCGCACGACTGCAATGTGGCCTGACTCAGCTGCCAATGTCAGTGCGGTGTCGCCATCATTGTCGGCCAAGTCCTTGTTGGTGCTAGCCTCCACCAGGAACCGCACGACCTCAACATGGCCCTCTTCAGCTGCCAGCATCAGGGCCGAGAAGCCATCGATGTCAGCCTTGTTCGTGTCGGCTCTGACCTCCACCAGCAACCGCACGACCTCAACGTGGCCCTCATGAGCTGCCCGCATCAGTGCAGTTCCGCCATCGATGTTAGCCTTGTCCGTGCAGGCTCTAACCTCCACAAGCAACCGCACGACCTCCACATGGCCCTCTTGAGCTGCCAGCATCAGGGCCGAGAAGCCATCGATGGCAGCCTTGTTCGTGTCGGCGCTGACCTCCACAAGCAACCGCACGACCTCCACATGGCCTGCGTGAGCTGCCAACATTAGGGCCGTGCAGCCGTGGTTGTCCAGCAAGCCCTGGTCGGCGCCAATCTCCAACAAAACCCGCACGATTTCAATGTGGCCTTCAGAAGCTGCCAACATTAGTGCTGTGTTGCCATTGTTGTCGGCCAAGCCGTTCTTGACGCCGACCTCCGCCAGCAAAAGCACGACTTCAACGGCGCCAGATGCAGCGGCGATGATCAGCGGCGACCGGCCATCGTCTTCTTCTGCCACCGACTCCTTGTCGGCGCCGGCCTCCAACAGCAAGCGCACGACTTCAACGTGCCCGCGGTCGCATGCCCAACCAAGCGCATCACCAGTTCCATTCGGGTCTAGGGGCAGCTGCAGCAAGGATTCGACCTGGAAGTTTCTTACGGTGAGGGAACGTATGGTTTTTTTATCAGCAAGCTCGCCCCTCTACTAATATTTCGAAACAGTGCTGCTGTCACCCTGAAAACCTGTGCCTCCTGCACTGAGCCATTCATTGCGACATCCGCGAGCTCGTACGCTTCTGTTGGTGAGGGGTCGGCGAAAGAAAGCACGACAACCTTACTGTTGGTTAATTAGCAGGGAACGAAGGAATGAGGGCCCTTGATATACCCTTTCAGAGATTATATAGGGCCCTCTATATATATATATATATATAATATGGGGCACTACATATATTTATATATACATTCATTCATTCATTCATTCATTCATTCATTCATTCATTCATTCATTCATTCATTCATTCATTCATTCATACATATATATATATACCCATTCAGGGATTGTACAGGGTACCTCATTCCCCCATTCCCCGCTCACCAACAGCAAGCAACTTCCAGGTCCAGGGAAGAGGTGAGCTCGTCGGCATCATCCAGATGCACTTTGGAGCCCTCAATATTGGGGGCTTGCTTTGGGTTTAGGGTTTAGGGTTTAGGGTTTAGGGTTTAGGGTTTAGGGTTTAGGGTTTAGGGTTTAGGGTTTAGGGTTTAGGGTTTAGGGTTTAGGGTTTAGGGTTTAGGGTTTAGGGTTTAGGGTTTAGGGTGTAGGGTTTAGGGTTTAGGGTTTAGGATTTATATACAAAATCTCGCCGTTGGTCAAATGGGGGGGGGGGGCCATATTGGGGGATTCGGATGCATAGAAACAGCGAAATCGCATGCCGGCCTGGAGGAGGAGCCTCTGCCTGAAGCGCGGCGGAAGACCATGCAGCTCGTGCAAGCGCCGCTTCACGTCCCTCACGCTGCCCACCTCCTCCACAGGAAGGTTTGCCAACTCTTCGCCCGAGAGCATGCGGACACGCAGCATCCTGGGTCTAATGGGGCGAAAGAAACTTCTGGGCGCTCTGAGCCAGAGGCTTCAAGCCCAAACCCAGCAAAATCACCCTAAACCCTGAACCCTAAACCCTGAACCCTAAACCCTGATCCCTAAAACCTAAACCCTAAACCCTAAAACCCTAAACCCTGCACCCTAAACTCTGCACCCTAAACCCTAGACCCTAGACCCTAGACCCTAAACCCTAAACCCTAAACCCTAACCCTAAACCCTAAACCCTAAACCCTAAACCCTAAACCCTAAACCCTAAGCCCTACACCGACTGGGAGCCCGCCAGGGCTGTAGAGCAGTATCTTGCCAACACAAACTGGGCTTTGTTGGGCTTCTGGGTTAAGGGTTTAGGGTTTAGGGTTTAGGGGGTACCCAGACACTCCAATACTCCTGAAGGATATTCCCGAAATGTGCATTTCCCAATTTCGGGCACCCCTTGTATACCTCAAATAGACAAGAACCACTTAAAGGGACCCCAAAAAAGGCTACCCCTGTTTTCGGAAACCCCCATATCATCTTCTAGACCTTTAGGAAGAAAGAGGGTGCACTTTATACTTTTTTGGGGGGCGAAACCCAAAACCCTAAACCCTAAACCATAAACCCAAAACCCTCGAGAGTCCCAAGCCGCAGCTCCAATACTTGAGCTCTAAACCCTGAAAACCCTGAAAACCCTGAAAACCCTGAAAACCCTGAAAACCCTGAAACCCTTAAATCCTCAAAAGCCCTTAAACCCTGAAAGCCCTCAAGCCTTCAACCCTTAAAACCCAAAACTCTAATCCTAAACCCCCAAAACCTCAACCCTAAAACCCTAATACCCTAAACCCTAAACTCGAATCCTGAACCCCCTAATCCCCACCCCGGAATTTAGGGCTTCCTCCGGCCCCCGGAAGTGGGGTTCCGGCTCATTGCGCGCGAGTCGGCGGTGTTGCGCAGACGCCCAAAGCTACCACGTCAAGATGAAGCTGAACGTCTGGCTGCGGAAAACATGGGCCTGGGGTCCATCGGTCCCTAAACCCTAAACCCTAAACCCTAAACCCTAAACCCTAAACCCTAAACCCTAAACCCTAAACCCTAAACCCTAAACCCTAAACCCTAAACCCTAAACCCTTTCAGTGTTTGGGGGGTCAGGGGGTCGGAACACTTGGGAAACTTGGGACGCGAGCTGGGACATGCGCCTGGGAACTCCTGCGCCAGGGGCTCGGGTCTTAGGCCTACAGGAGCTTGAGAAGTTACGGGGAGCTCGTGGGGTTTAGGGTTTAGGGTTTAGGGTTTAGGGTTAAGGGTTTAAGGTTTAGGGTTTAGGGTTTAGGGTTTAGGGTTTAGGGTTTAGGGTTTAGGGTTTAGGGTTTAGGGTTTAGGGTTTAGGGTTTAGGGTTTAGGGTTTAGGGTTTAGGGTTTAGGGTTTAGGGTTTAGGGTTTAGGGTTTAGTTTTTAGGGTTTAGGGTTTAGGGTTTAGGGTTTAGGGTTTAGGGTTTAGGGTTTAGGGTTTAGGGTTTAGGGTTTAGGGTTTAGGGTTTAGGGTCTACGGTTTAGGCTTTATCGTTTTAGACTAGATCCTACGAACCTTGAGCCCGACATTCTTAAGCCCTCATCTCTCCAAAGAAGAACTGCAAAACCCTCCTCCCTAATCCTTACTTCTCCAATAACCTAGAGGAAAAACAAGATAAACTTTATTACTCCTACTAAATAACCCTAAACCATAAACCCTAAACCCTAAACCCTAAAGTTTAAAGTTCAGCTGTTGGAGAAGTAAGAATCAGCGTGGGGCTTAGATCGGCTTAGGGTTTAGGATTTGGGGCTAAGGGACTCGAACCCCAAACCTTGACCACTGAGCCCACATGTCAACCTAAACCCTAAACCCTAAACCCTCAACCCTCAACCCTCAACCCTAAGCCCTTCCCTTCTCACGGCTCCGGTCCGCTTTTTCCGACTCAGCCGGGCGCGGCTCCTGCCCCCGCCGCAGCAGCGGCGTC